GTATTGATATCAAAAATAGCTGATGAAGGAATCTTTGAATTTCGTCATCAATAAAGGTAAATGTCCAACGGCTTCTGATTTTACTTTTGATTCGGCTATCATCTGCCACCGGAGATAAATTCGTACTGTTGAGATGTGGGCTTGATAAGATTGATTTTTGAATTTTGTTAATGTTTGACATAAAATAACTAAGTTTAGATATAGATAGCATTATGAAACCAAGTCCCAGAATTCTAGTAATGTCTACGCTCCAGATTATAGATCGTGAGAGTATGGTAAAGCTGTTCATTTTCCAATGGTTCAAGTGAAAGAGATGGGTAATTTTTATAATTTTCAGAAATTTTGGGAATTTGCTCAAAATAGCCCAGATAAAGTCAAAATATGGATAAAGCTGGCGAAAAACTTTTTTGAACCCCACAAAAAGCTGGATAAAGCTAAGACAAAAAAATTTTTGAACCATTTTTTGCTGACTGATAAAAAAGAAATCCCACAAAGGCACAATCTCGGCAGGTTCCGAATAACCTTTCCTTAGCACCCGGATAATTTCCACATGCCACTGTTGTCGATAATCAATTTTTTTTCACCCAGATCATTTTCACAGTATTTGCGCTTCTTAACGGCTATTTGCAGCGATTCTAGGGTTCTAGGTCGTAGTACGAAATTTCCACGGCGTTTTTCCCGGCCGCTACTCGCATTAGAGCAGCGTATGTCCTTGTGTGCGCTTCTAATTGATAACTATTTCGGCTTCTTCGAAGAGTTCTTGCACTCGGTCACGACTCATTGCCACTGACATCGCGCGCAGCAACTCCGCCCCGCGATGAGACCGAGACTCGGTTAGCAGGACATTCGGATGAATCGTGCTTAACCCATTTCTTACTGGAGCAAATTTGTCCTTGGTAGGCACTTCTTCTCTAGTACTGTGCGCCTTTCCTCTTCAAGAAGTTTTGCAGTGTCCTAATAAAGGATAAGCTTTTAAAGGACTTTCCCTTACATGCATGGAGCATTTACTTATAAAGGCATATTTTAGGTCTAACATAAGTTTTGAGACACTTTTTTTCATTTTCTCCTGAAAAAAAAACTTCGACAAAGTCTAAAATTTAGCATATATGGCATTGGACAAAGAGTATCTATTGGCATCATTTCCACCTTTGCAGTAAGGGTTACAATAAATATAAAGGTAATTTTGTGACGGCACTCAAATCTCCATTTTCTTTTTTCTCTAAATTCTCTCATTCTTCAAATTTTTGTTGGATTCCTAGGACACTGGTGCTAATATAAGGAAAGTTTGAAGGTCTAAGCTGTTATACAGCGCAAGTTGGAAATTTGCCAAAGATAATTGAGAAATTCAAAAAAATTCAAAAATTGGGTTATGCATGTATATATTGAAAATTTACAGCCCTTTACTTAATTTGGAGGTGAGAAAAAATTTTTGGAGAAAGTTTTAGAGATTTTTCCCTTCAAGTGTAAAGCTTGTAAAACCTAATAGTATCCATCAGCTACTTCAGATCAGAAAATTTAAAAAGATTGAGAATGCTGACCATAAAAACTCAGCTCAGCTCACTTCTCTTGCTTTCTAGTGTGATTGAAGATTGTACATATGTTTTCAAAATTTTCTGAAGATGAGACATATTTGAAGTCTTCAACCATCCTAATATATGCATTCATGGCAATCCTCAAGATAAGCCTAAGTTCCGACTATAGTTGATTTTCATTTGCCTCAAATAAACATTGTAAACTTAAGCAGTGCTTACATACCACAGTTTTCCAATAAATTCAGAATTTTATGCAAATCTTTCTCTCAAAATGTAATACTAAAGATTTTCTGGCTATTCAATCGCTACAAAGCTCAAAAAAATTCTATAACAAAAAAGAGTAAGGAAGGAAAGAAAAGAAAAAAGTGCTACATAATTTATTGGACTCCTGGCTGCCATAAGCATATGTACACTAATAAGGAACTGAAACAAAAAGTTGTAATAGGATCTTTATTGGTAAATTGACTCAACATCACATGAAAAATAGAGCGAAACGAAAACATAAATCTCGCCGATTTACAAAAGCGCATATCTCTTAGAAAGAGATTTGATTCCTCGACCTAAAAATGATCTGCACTCTAATTAGGCTATGACAGTCGTTCTCGTCTAAGCAAAGACAAAAAAATTTCCATGAGTTATTGGTTGAACGTAATTTTACGGTTAGAGGAAGTACTCAGCTTTATTGTTTGCCTGTTCTCGGTTTCCCCACTTGGGACTATTTGACCACAGACTCTTGTTTTCCCATTTATGCAAGACATTCAAGGCGCTGGCTTATGCGCCACTTATGTTTTTGCTTACACAGCGGAACAATTATTGTTAGCTTCCAGATTCAAACACAACTAGTGGTCGTTGAAAAATGCGCTGTTTATACTCTTGCGCTCAAACATGAGCTTTTCAGTGTCTTAATTTTTCCTCAAGTATACTATATTATAAAGCTTGTAATCATAGATGTTGAAGGTTTAGGTCTGATCTGCTAATGTATACAACAACAGATAGAAGAAAACACTCTACTATTTGCTTGTTCAAAAATTCTCCTATCTTTGGGATTACGTACCTAGCCACATACACTTCTTTTAAAAGCCACGTTCTCCGTAGGGACTTCATCGTCTTAATATTTGTGGACCAATCGTAAATGTTTTGCCCCCCCCCCCCTCATTTGAAAATTCCAGTGATTCAAATCTAGTACAAGTCCATTTGATTATTTGCTGATCTATGATGTAGATCTTTGACTAGCCGCTTAGCCGACGCAGACTACTTAACCTTCTGTCGCTAACCAAACTACTATTTACCCCAACTAGGTAACAGACATTGTCCTTGTAACACTTGTACAGGTGTTACGGTAAGAGTGGTACCTTATGCGCGTTCTTGCTGGGTTTGGCGGGATTTAGGCTAAGAAACTGAAAGGTACCTTCAGCCCTTGACGAAGACCACTGCTGACCCTGCCCTCTTTCAAAAAAAATTTTTTTCGCAAAAAAAATTCGAGGTTGTACATGAGATGGGTTCTCAGCAAAAAACTGTTTTCTATTCACACCTTTGGCTTTTTAGTGTCCTGCATATTAGTTAAGAAGAATCTCCTACGATGACTACTCATCGAAATTCAGTGCTTAAAAAGTATGCAGAATTATGTCGTCATCTACAGAGTGTCCCAAAAAGATGTGCACACTGTTTGATCGTTAATAACTCTCTTGCTTTCAGGTTTTTTGCCGAGTTCAAGATACCATTCTGTAGAGCGAGGTTCAACTTAGATTTGCAGTGTGGAGCAAATCACCAGTCACTTTTCATTACTGTAGGATTACGGTATGAATTTCCAACATACAGCATCACTGTGGAATAGGCCTTGCGATAAAATAATTTCAAAATAATCTGAAAACCTGTGTATTTCAGGCGTGTTCAGGCGTGCTGATTTCAGTACATAACTTTTCATCAATTTTTCGAACTTTCTTGCTCGTGTATTCACATTTTTGAGCGACATTGGGAAAACAGTTTTTACTCTAAATCTGAAATAACTTATGAAAGAAGCACTATACTAAAATGCAAACTTCATATTTAAAATCAGCACCTTCAATTAGCCCAGTTTGAGAGTTTCTGGCTTGTTTGGCTTTCTTTCTGAGGCAAATTGCGCCCTTTAATGGCTTAAAATCCTCTTCGAAGTTCATACCGTAATCCTACAGTAATGAAAAGTGATTGGTGATTTGCTCCACACTACGAATCTAAGATGAACCTCGCTCTATAGAATGGTGCTCTAAGCTCGACAAAAGACACGAAAGCAAGAGAGTTATTAACGATCAAAAGTGGTGTGCACATCTTTTTGGGACACCCTGTATGTGATAATTTACCAACAATTTTACGGCTTTTACGCAATGTTGCGACGTATTTCTCAAGTTTTCAACTTGTCAAAACCTTTTTCAGCTCCGTCCGTCTCCGCTGGTTCTATGAGATTGCTGCTTTTGCAGCTTGCGCTTTGCGCAGTGTACACAGTTGCGGCTACAGTAAGCAATAAATTACTGGAAGACTATGAACGCAAGCTGAATAGTATAAACGACAAACTCCAGTGGAGAAGAAATCCTGGCAAACATCGACTGAAGAGGTAATCCATTCCCTTGCAAAATTCCAACTCAAAAGTTATTTTCATGAGATACAGGTGTTTACTCATTAGTTTCACATGCTAGAATAATTTTCATTGAAGTGTTGTGATGCGTGGTTGGGAATGTAATATGTCGGCAGATTCCGCTCCATTAATCGTCATGTAAGCAAAACAACATGCATGCAATGCGCTCAGATTACCGTAGGAAAAAGCTAAGCTGATACGTATTTGAGTTTCGGTACCAGAAAATTTCTGGTTATCAAAGCCAGTGTCAGTGAAGAGATGGAGTGAAAAGATTTTATTGCTATGCGTTTGTAGAAAAAAGTCATAAGTTGGCTAAGAAATAATTTCGTTTTATCGTGTAAATCTCCATGAAACGGATCGTTATTTTCATCTGTGATCATTTGCGGGGCAGGAAGGTTAAAGCTGTTATTACCGTACATCATCTAATCAGGATTTCCTATCATTGGTGAGGGGCAGTTATGCCACAACATGGGTTAATTTCAGAAGCTCAGTTCTTCATCTTCTAAGCTTCGTTTTTATGATATGATACATAGATGTAGAGATGAGTACTTTGGTATTTGAAAACAAATAAGATTTTTGTAAAGCGAATAACATAGAATTGTGATCTGCCACTTTGAGAAGCAGGATAAAAAAGTGTGCTTTTCTCTTATTTGCGCACATTGAGAAAATTGGGGTATCTCACTTCTTTGCGTTCTCTGAAGTGCTTTTTAGATGAAAAAGTATAAATTTTTAGCTTTGTAGGAGCCGTAAAAGTTACCGAAATCATTTTTAGCCAGCCCGATAGATCTATGTATGTGATTGTCAATGACAACCTCTGTGTGCAGGTATCGCTGCATCGAAGAATATGTGGAGGAGTAGCAATGTCATTGAAGAAGGCAAGGAACACGTCACTACCCCAGCACCAGTTCGAGAATTTACTATGCCAGAAGAAGAACGAAATTTCGGCGGATGCACGGCGTGAAGAATACGGTAGGTCTGAAATGTTGGTAGATAAGCAAATATATGGTCTTCAGATATTAATACATTGAGTAAACTTCTGATTAAAATACAACAGGAAGGACGGAAAAAACTGACTGAAAAGATTCTGCTTCTAACTTCAACAATCTTTTCTATTGGAAGTATTGAAAAATTGATTGGTCTGTAGAATTCGAAAATTTTTGTGCATACTAACAAAAAAAGCAAATCACCAATATAAGTGACTTTATTTTTAAACCTACTCGTTTGCTCTGCACTACCAAAATATGATTAAGTCATTTGGAACTCATAAATAATAATAATAATAATAACAGTAATAATAACAGTAATAATAATAGTATTAATAATAATCATAATAATCTTATATATGAAGCTGAATTCTGTTTGTACACTTAGAGACAGGACGGGCGTCATAGGCTACTTTTCGTTATCGATCGATATCGATCCTATCGATTTTTCTCGATTTCTTGTAAAGTTTGATCTGTGGGGCTGGGAGTTGGCACAGGGAGGTAATCGAGCATGCTGATTATGAATGCAATATCAGTTTTTGAAATTTTCCGCTACTTTTATCGATTTTATCGGTTTTTTTGCGAAGTTTGAGTTACGCGGCTGGGAGTTGGCGCAGAGGGTTAAGTGGGCATGTTGATAGATGTGTAATTGTTCAATTTGTGATTTTACCTGACCACTTGTGAAAATTTTTGCGCATAAGTATAGCCCACGATGATTATTGTCATTTTGGGCCAATCCAAAAACATTTAGATTTGCATTTCTCTCCTAGAAAAAGATATCATCCACGCGAAATTATCGATCTCACATGAAAAAAGCTCCAGAAATGAGTAGGTTTATAGGTCATTCGTGATACTTCGCATAGCACGGTGAATTTCAATGTCATTATTGCGGGAACAAGTAAGGCATACAGATAGTGGGACCAGCGCGAGCTTCTGCGAAGCAGAAGTGACGCACTGGTAGTGATAATAAAATAGCTACTTGGCGTCTTGCAAAGTTAGAACCTACTCATCTCCAGTGATTCCTTCTTGTTTTCCTCTTTCGATTCGTTTTTATAGGTGCTAGTAACACATCTACACAGTTTGTTACCCTAGAGAAGGTTTTACTGAGGAGTTACCAGAAGAGTCTCATCCATTGCCGCGCATAGTGTGCAGTCACATATTGACCTACAAAGGACTAGAGCATATATCATAAATAGTAATGAACAAATACACAAGTACATGTTGCGTCGTTAGCGCCTTCTTCTTGAGAGTAATTCTCGTAAGTAAGTAAATGAAACTAAGCGTTTTAGGGAACTGACGTCACTGAAAAGGGCCCTATGAAAGCTTTCGAAGTGACATTAGTGAAGAAGAAGCGAAAGAAGATTGATGGAGGAAGCGCGGTTTACTCTACCGTAGCCGGCTTGCAATCGGTAAGTGACCCATTTGCAGGTAATTTTTGCAAAACTGAACATTTCAGAAAACGTATTCATATGTGACTGTGCCACTTAGACGACTACTGTAATTCTGACGACCGAAATCATTGAGGATGACGATTCTGCAGATGCTACGATTATGAAAAATCATTTCAAACCAGCTCCACAAAATGCGCAGATGGGAGCCGATGTCGACCAACGTAAGTGGAACGATTTCTTTTTGTAATCTGAATGCAAACAAATATGATAATATAGAGTTCAACATGATTCCTATAGTCAAGCATTACTAGGCGCACAATAGCGAAAGCAGAGATGCATAAACCAGCAAAATATTAGTCACTTGGTTTACTTTGTCTAACAGATGCAATTAGCATGAAGACTAGCCTGTAATATACCTTTATGGCAGTGGCGTACCCAGGAATTCCGTTCGGGGGAGTCGGGGAGGGGGAGGGGGGACAAATTTTTCGGATGAAGTTGACACACCTAAAATTTCTTGAATGAGGGGGACATATTTTTTGGATGAAGTTGACATACCTAAAATTTCTTGAGATGCTCAAAATTTCCCCTCCTCCGAACGGAATTTCTGAGTACACCACTGCCGTGAAGATATATTACAGGAATTGCGTTCGGGAGGAGGGGGATGGGGAACAAATTTTTCGGATGAAGTTGGCACTCTCAAAATCTCTTGAGGTGCTTCCCAAAATTTTACGTCCCCAAAAATTTTCTTACTAGGGTTATCTGAATCAGACCTTTCCAAAAGTTATTTTGAATATTTGCAAGTCAAATCACTGGACATTTTATAATAGATGTAAATGGGTAAATGGAAAAGCGGAGGGCGAGGGGGGTTTTCCCCCTCGCCCTCCGCTTTTCCATTTACCCATTTACATCTATTCTTTCTTCGGTACGCCACTGCTTCGCAGAGTTCCAAACCATGATATAAATTAAAAAAAATTTGTCTTCTCTTGCCCTTAAGCTACCGTATTCGCTTTTCAAGACCTAAGCAGGTTCGGATAAATACTTATCTACTAACTGGTAAACAGGGTCGCACCCGGCCCTGAAGTAATATATTCGTAATTAGCATGCTCAATCACGCTCTGGCCAACTCCCACCCCTGTAGCTCAATTTGCAAAAAATCGATACAGTCAAAGATCGATACACACTCCAGAATTGAAGGGTCGAGGCTGACAATGCCCTTTTTTTTACTAAAAATTCGAGAAATTCGACTCAAACCTTTAATTACTTTCCGCATCATACGCCAAACACTTCACGTTTTACTCCACTGTCGGTGCCTGAACCTGCCGGTCCACAGTTTTTCCCATCTCCCTTACTCACCCAATTCTTTTTCCCTCCTCTTTTTACTCCATCCACCTTCCCTTCCCTACTCCTGGGAATGACAACAGGTATGTGTAATGAAAAAGAACACAAAAATAAGAGAAAGGAAAGGCAAGCCTAACCAAGGCTAAACTAGGCTGTTCGGGGCGCGCTTTGCAATTGGAGCAGATTGTGCCATTACTGAAAATTTCCTGAGGGCTATGAGAAAGGTTAGAGGATATGGAACGTTTTTTGTGCATATAAAATTCGCGGTAAAGGTACGATATATGCAAGAAGGCTTAAATTATGTGAGCAAAGGGTCGGTTTGGTTAAAGGAATTCGAAAAAAGTTTAGCACGGTTTCAATTACTGAGTTCTCATGAATATTCAGGTCATACTTCGGGTCACCTCAAATGCGCAGTGCAAATTTGGTGTCATACTACTGCGTTTTGAGTGTAAGCAACGCTTTTGTTTATTTTTGAGCATGCAGGAGGCATGCCTGCGGCTCTCCTTGCGAATCCCCCTAGAACAATATTTCCTTTGCTTTTCCCTCAAACACGATATCCAGCTCGACCCGGTTCCAGCTGCTTCGGGCCGTGTTTACAACACAACTCTGTTCCTTTTTTAGAAATCCAACTTTTCTGATCTCTGTAAAAGATAGAAAGCGCAGTTAGTGAACACTTGTGATTTCTTAGCCTTGGTTTTAAGATAAGTAGGATCTTAAATTCTGAAAACAAGTAAAGTTATCTTTCTTTGTTGTGCCAGGTCCCACCACAACTCTTCCAGTACGATAAATTACCTCGAGCAACAGAAACCCATCCTGCATTAGTCGTCTCTGCCACTCCAACACAGGTAAGGCCGCTCGTGAATTTCGAGCAAGAGGTGTAGCACACAATTGCCGGATACGACACCTCCACCACTAGCATTACCTAGGCAGCCATAACATTGAGGTATAACAGACATGAATAATCACACATTTGTAATTACCATGTCAGACAACCCCTTTTGGGCAATTGTTATGAGTTCTGAAGGTTCCTAGTATTGAGCCATCCAAGTGAAACGGTCATTTTTAAACATGGTTAGCTTTTTTAAAAGGTACTCAGTATAAAGCGCTACTTCTTCGCCCACATAAGGAACCGTACTTTGAATAACCTCCAAATTGTCGAGTTAAGAGCCAGCCAAATCTCGTTTGTCCCATTTCTCACTCTCAGTATTTTGCTTTTAGCAACAAACGCACAGACTAAAGAATGCATCAAGCTCAAATTACTATTTTGAAAATTGCGAGAATCGGGCTATCGAACTGCGTAGATACTGTACGCAAAAATTCTTTTTGAAGCTGGGTCAAAGGCAGTGTTCGGGCAAAAACTCGGTTTTTAGAAAATCCACTTACCGAGAGTTATCCGTAACGCTGAATTCGAATATCCACGTTAGAAAGCACGAAGTCGGTGAGAACATATGTTTTCCAAAGCCTTACAATTTGAAATTCCACGCCTTGCCAAGGTTAAGACGCAGAGTCGCTGCAGGATCCTACCATTTTGATTGTGGCGGCATACGTACTCTGCCGCTTGGCATGATTTCAAACCGGAGGACCCCCACTCCAAGACGTAAGTTTCCCCACTTCCCGATCGTTTTTGTTGCTTTAGGTTGAACGTCACAACCTCGTACTTGCGCGATGCTGCGTATGATGAAAGCCACTTTCGCATGGCACTGAAATTCCAAAACCCCCATCTTGCCCGGACACTGCCTTCAATGGGATGGCACACTCCATAGAAGACTGTGGAAGCCACACCTTTTTGAGGTTCTTTTAATTTACCTCCATAGCACTGAAATATCTGTGCTTTTTTCTTGTTGATACTATGAGCTTTCTTCTCTACGCATTAAGAATTTCATTTGAAATCGTTACAATGGGGTGAAATATAGTCGTTCTTCATACCTTATGCAAAGCAACATACTGGATCGCGGTAACATGCTGAGTCTGCGCTATCACATAGATCGCGAGGGAAGGCAGCAAGAATATGTGTATTCGATTGTCTAAACGTTGTAGTTTCCAAAAAAGTGGTTTGAGACTGATTATTGTTCTCTAGTTCGAGCATCGAAGGCGAAAAATGGGACAAACGAGATTTTGACTTGCTCGTAATTCCATGATTTCGCGGTTATTTGAAGTGAGATTCACAATGTGAGCAAAATGGAAGTACTCCTTTGTAACATGTGCAAAAAAGTAGCCAACTCACCTCTGGAACATAGTTGACATGTTCGAAAATGACCATTTCATTCGGGTGGCCCAAAACTAGAAACCTCAAAATTGGCTGTCTTTGCCCATAAGGGTGATTTGGCATGCTAATTGAGAAAATGATGCTGTTGTATTTCAAGGCTTCTTTATCATGCTTACTATACCTATACGATGGTAGAGTAGTCAGCACCCATTGTGCTTGTTTCCTGCAAAATGGATTTGTCTGACTTTTTTGACGAGATGTCATTGTTAACACAGTAACACCTCGATAACTACCCCTCCCTCCACCCTGACCCCGCGATACGACCCCCCCCCCCCCTCCCTCGGTGTGGCGTGCCACTCCCCGCGCTTAACCCTGGTAATCACTGTCACAATCTTTCTTTTTCTGGAAAGTTACAAAAAAGTTCAAAGCTTTGTTTGGATGAAATTATTATCATATTTTGGCTGCAAGGAAAGAGAATCAATATGAAGCAGTTGATGTGAAAATATTTAAAATGAAATCTTTAAAAACAAAACATGGAAAATACAATACATTGAAAGCCTTACAGAGATGTGAAATTTTGCGAAATAGAGAAAAAAATGTTTGTGTGCTTATCAATGATCAATAGCTCAGTGGATTAGTTGGCTTTAGCAATGACCGAAATAACGTTATTTAGGTCGAGGATTTAATGTAATTCACTTTCCTTCTCGTAAAAACATAAACGCAAAAAGGTTACGACCAGGGTCAGGGCCCGGCACCAATGGTCTGGAGTCAAACTGGACTTCGTTTTTGGGGTTAGAAGCAACGGGGACATCGTTTTTATGAGGTCCTGGAGGAAGCCCCAAAAAAAACACGACGAGCATGTCAGGTTTCACGAGTTGAACGTGTTATTTCGTAAGCGCTCAAATTTCAAATGTAAGACTCAAACAAACAAATGGCTTGTTTACAGCGCACAAACAATCACATGGCTCCGAATTTGGGCTATGAGTATACAATATTATTCCAAACTATGTTATGTAAGAAGTTCCCAAAACTTGTGTGTCTGAATACCCGTTCCCGTTTATGCTACGAACCAACTGGGTTGGTTCGGAGCATAAATTTCGGAGAGTTCACATAAGTTTTGGACCTTTTTGTTTTGGACGATCGAAACGCGCAAAAATCTATTATATAGTGAAGAGAGCGAATCAAACCATTGCCTCTTCTCTTTTTTTGAGCCAAAAATAGTGTAAATCTATGCGATGATAGATATCGCGCCACAATCACATGTGTGTAACGGCGTCCTTTGCAGCGGCGTCGATTGCATCGTTTTCCTCTCACCGTGTGCTCATCTCAATTTCCCATCTCTTCGTCTTTTCCTTTCTTTCATTTTCAATCCTAATTGCTTTCCTTTCAGATATGTCTCGTCCTAAGCTAATAAAGCGCTGAAGTATGATTTCAAAGTTCCCCCGGAGGGGTTCAAGCGTCATACAAAGTTAGCTCTTAGTTTTCGGGAAGTTTTGATACCATGTTTATCTCTAATTCTTAGTTTATCGTTTTTATCGTTTGCTATCTATTATTTTTTTTATCGTTTGCTATCACTACTTACTATTACTACGGTTATGGCGCTGTCATCATCTGCTGAGCCCTATCGGCGTTCGTAGCCGGCATGTTCGAGCATTTCCGCTGCTCATCGCGAGGAAATCTGATGATCCTGACTCCGGGAGAGGGGGTCGAGGCGAGAGGGCTCGTTAATCGCATCTCAGCGCTCAAACCGCACATAATTGCCACTGC